CTCAGATGTATCAGTTCTGGGGAATAAAGTTGTCACTGAGCACAGGAACAGCAGCGACAGTATTTTTAATTCCCACTTTGGTTGGTAGATGATTAGTTTATGTAAGTGTAGTTTAGGTATAGGAGCATTTTCACAGCAGATTTTTATGAAAAAATAGCCAGTTCTGATTTTAACCTCCCAACCATTTTATAGTGGTGCAAATTATGATTTATGTGCAGATTTTCTCTACTGTGAGATCAGAATCAAGCTGCGAACAGATCGGACCATCAATTCAAAAATGCTGAGTTAAATGGATCTGCTTTTTGGGGAAAATCCTGTTTTGCCACTATAGTCTTACAGTTGCTTGCAATTAATGTTCATAGATTTAATTCAGTTATATTCCATGATGGAGAAGATATGTATATGTCAACCTGAATCTTGCCTGTCCTCAGTTTTTGATACCATCAATTGCAGTTAAGGTTCTTTTGTTGAAGAAAGAACATATTGCATGAAAAGAGGAAATGGCATTCTATTATATGGCAAAGTGTAATAATTTCCTTCTGAGAGACTTTAAATTCTGTATGAATGTTTAATGTAGGATTTCTATATATACAATATGCACCTGAAACCCTTTTGCCCCAGATAACAGCACCAGACCTCTTAACTTCCAAAGGTTTATGTGTTCTCTGCGTTATTAAACACATAGACTGATGGGGGGGGAAATAAGACAGAATGGTGACCTTTTTCCAGTGTTGTCGGTTATGGAATAGGAAGCTGTTGGAAAATGATTGCCACAGAGCTGAAAAGATAATCGGATGCAGTTCATTACTCATCTTGTCAGCTGCTCCTGCTACAAGGGATTGTATCACAAGATGTTAATCTGCTTGTGACTACATTTCAAAGCAAGCATTTTTATTTTGGAGGGGGTGTAAGTAATTTAACATCTTTCAATTTTATTACATTTTCAGAAGCAAGAGAAATGGAAAATTCCCAATTTAAAGTCTCAGAATATTAATTGATAAAAATATTAGTACATCCTTGTGGGTTCTGTTACAAAAATATGACGATATGCTGCAAAAAGCTATTTAATTGCAAAAGTTGTTCTTTTTAGACTAATGATGAGGTAGTGTATTCCTTGAATAGTGGAAGTTAGTCTGCTAGCACACTTTAGTGTGTTCTGCAAGACAACAAGTATAGACACAAGAAAGATTTCACCAAAAAGAATCCCTTCTACACATAGAGTCGCTGATGTGGATGTACCCAATGCTCCCATACATTGTCTACCAGTGAGGATATTTGGTGTAAGTGTAGAGGAGGACCAAATTCATTACTTAGACTCCACAGATGGGAAGATGACAAGAATGCAATTTTAGCTAGATGACATTTTCTGAAAGTGAAAGGCCCAAAAGAGCAGTTACTTTCTGATACTGTGGGATGTTGCTCACAGTGTTATATGAAGCATAGAGGAAGGCTTATAAACTTTCCATTACAGTAAGATTTGCTGTGTATATTTCAGGCAAGCAGTACTGCCCTTTCCTCTTCCACTTTCATCCTGCCTGTCTTCTTAAGTCCTTGAAGAAGTTGTCCAGTACAAGAAGAGGGACATTCCTTTAATTTCCTGCTAAGCTGGAGAAAAACACTCCTTTTGCTACCCTTTTTTGTGTCATTTTCTAGTATTGATTATTGCCAAATGGAATTGCACATTATGTTTTAAATAGTTAAATTATAATTTCCATTGTGGTCTACAGGCACAGATGTAATCTCTATTAGAATACATTATTTAAAAAGCAAGCAGTGAGATACTTAAAAGTACTTAAAAAATAATATTTTGAGTTAACATGTAAGCAAAAGAAATTACAGGTTTAAACAAAATAAATAAATGGTTTCTGGATGCTCATGGTTGCATATGGCACTTTTTACTCCAGCAGGAGTATGTAATGATAATGCCTTGCTGTATTCCAATTTTGGTAGCTACAGTCCACCCACTTAAATACCCCCTGGTGTATGTGTAGGCAACAGTATTCTCTAGTTGCTGCCACAAACTCTTACATGGTCTTTTGTGTGCTATTAATCACCAGCTATATTTCACCTCCAGAGTGACTGCATTTCAACACTGGACAAAGTGAAATATCCTATCTTACATTATAGAAGCAACCAGTAGATAGTGGTTTTAGTTGGTCCAAAACTGGGGCATTAAATCATTTTCTCCCCTAAACATTTTTGACTGGGTAGTCAATCAGTATGAAATGTTATTTGAATTTTCCATGTAGCTTTTCCCCTCTGTTTCTCCTTATGCATAGTACAGTTGGTTAGCCGAGAGGTGAGGGCCTTCTTCACTACAAAATTCTGATGCAGGTAATGAACGCCATTTGCCCAGGTCAGAAGACACAAGCTAGTGGGCAGAGGCTTAATTGGTACCGCTGTGGCTACTATGCAAATGTTTACCTGAGTACATATGTATGTATGTCTGACTTTATATGTATATATATAGGTACATTAAAAAATTACATATTTTCACAAAAACATTAAATGTCGTCACGTGTGTTACTGTTATTTGTCACCATGTTGAATCTGACAGTTAAGATAGAAATGTCAATGTGAAGGGACTACATGCAAGTTTGTTTTCAAGACCCTTTAATCATTGCATTTTCTGCTGAGGCTATGACAGAGGTGTAGATGGTGATTACAGTAATGAAAAAAAAGTTGTTTGAAAGTGCTCTGTAAGTATTTTTCCACCTCCATTAGATTATTTAGAAATTGAATTGAGTTCCCATGCTGAATAGGCAAACATTGTTCCAGGTTGGGATAGAGAATATGAAAGCTAATTAATTTACTCTATAGTTGATGTGAAAGGCCATTTGTTTTATAGTAATTTTCATGTTTTAAATGTGAAACTGTGCAATGAAGAACTGAGTAATGTCACGTTTATGCTATAGTAATAAATTTACAAAAAAAACTAAGATACTTTATGCAGTGCACCTTCTGAATCATTGCCTGATATTATAATTTTACTTTGCCCGTTTATGGAAATCAAGTACAATTTTACAGAAAATACAAACATAGCTATAAAATAAGTTACTTCAGTTTGTAAATCCATTAGTGTCCTCAAGCAGTCAAAAATGAGATTCCATCATCCCAGTTTATTTTCGTATTCTATGTTAATTCTCATTCACTTTACAAGTATGAGTCCAACAGCATAAAAGATGTTCTCTCTCAATTCTTAATACGACCCATAAATTTTATCTTTTAATATCTTTAGAGATAAGGGGTAGGGTTGGATGAATTCCTGATCCGATCTCAGAATTTGTAAAAGCATTCTATCTGATAATAATTTTTTTTTTTTTTTTTTTTTTTTTT